AGGACAGCATTTCTGTGGATGGTAAACAAATGACGTCTGATTTACCTAATGAAGCCCGCTGTTGTATCAACACGCAAAACGATGAGATAACCCAAGTTCCGCAAGCAAATCATTTGCGTCAATGAATACAGAATGTAAATATATGCATGGAACTTCTTGCTTGATTATGGTTCATTAGTAACGAAGCATACTTTCTTTTGCAGATAAGCATATACGAAACGGAATGATAATAAAAGTAGTGATATACCTTCACTAACATGCTCCTTTAAGCTCACAAAAGCGCCAGCTTTGTCGATGAACTGGTACCATGTAATAGGCAAATGTGGTTTACCGACCATGCCATTACAAAGAAGTGTTACCTCACTACCACGGGTTACCGTTAACTTCTTTTCTGGGATTGTTGCGGAGAAATAAGTTATGACTGGTCTCTGTCCAAAGGCTTTAATAATAAACAAAAACAATGTTAAACTATGAAGATTAAAATATGTTTTTGTATTTTTTTTTTGTATTCAGGTGCTCTATCACTCAACATTTTTTTCTTACTTGTTTTTTTTTGAAAAGATTCGAATGTAGGATAGTGGTGACAATGATAGATTTATAATTGATATAAACAGAAACGACACTGCAGACCACACAGAAGCATATTGTGAAAATATCGTCACGTTTGTTCAAAAGGCAAAGCATATCAAATATATTTCTTCGGTGATCCGCTCTCTTGGCCGACGAGTAATTAACATACCCTGTATGGTACCAATTATGACTACCTGACCACAACTGACCAGTACTTCCCGCTATTGATCTTCACTTGACTACTACTGACCAACATTTGACAACTACTGACCCACAGTTGACCAGTTCTGATCACGACCTGACTACATACAGCTAACCTTTACTTAACCGCTTCTGGCCAACTTTGGACCACTACTGACAACACTTGCTTATTACAGACTAACCTTTGTCCACTTGACCACTTCTGACCACCGCTTATTGCAATTACAATTTTGGTTAAAATTAACCGGATCTAATGTTAGAGGTAGTTATACAATTTCTCATTAGCCAACTTGGCACATGCTGGTTAACCGAAGGACAGTTCTCATGGAAAGATTGCCATCTTAATACCAGAGGTGACTTTTAATGCAAATAACAAAATCGGAATTTGAACATCAAATCGGGAAAGGTAGTGCAAACTATAAACAAATGCAAATGTATCCTAGATAAAAATACAAGCATATTTTACTTTATCGTCGACACCCGCAATGTAAATATGTGTAAATGCAAGCCATGACAGAAACATTGCAGTCAGCACACTGCGATAATCTAAATTGACAAAAGGCTATTTTCCTCACCATGCTAATCGTCGCTGCTTTCAGAAAGACCGCATTTTTTTAGTAGACTAGATTGAAACATATTAGTGGTGGGATGCTGCATATTGTATATGAATAAAATATATTAATTCGGACTACCTACGAAATAGTACTTAAAAGTATTACTTAGTTTTATTCATGTCATTATCGTGCGCTCACATGTGGCTTCAGTCCTAATTTAGGTTGCTTATTGATTTGCATTTTACCAGATCTTTTATGATATGCATGACATATTATATTTTATTATACAAGTACAAAGCATTTGAGGTAAAACACGGATACACAGGTAAACTGTGTCCGGCATGAATTAAACATTCAAAACGAATGTGTTTAAAATAATTGAAAGACAGTTTATATACTTACAGTAAACAATTAGCTCTTCCCGAATTGTTTCCTTTACCGTTTCCTCGTTCTGATTCAATCCGAAAACTTCACAGGAATATACACCATCATCTCCACATTCAATCTGATCCAGCGTAACTTCTAAATAAGTTTCATCCAATGGTTCCAGCGAATATCTCACAGTGGTCTTTTCGTCCATTTTCGCATCATCAATTTCGGATCCCCATTCTGGTCCCGTGCCATCACTTATTCGCAGAACCAGGAACGGTGTCTTGTTCATTAAAAGATTCTGTTTTGATATTTGCATCCATCCAATTGTTGCTAAGTCCGATTCTCCAAGTTCACAGCGGATCGTGACGTCATCATTGCCCGTGTACTGTATCTTGTGCGGCTCAATCGTTAGGACAATTCCTGGAAAGTTCAACAGAAAGGTGTAATACCGTCACTAACCTCATCTATCGCATATAATTTAACTCTATTAAACAACTGTCTATTCAAAAAATCATAAAACGATTAAACGGCTGTTTTTCAAATTGCATGTCTGTATTAAAACACTGTTCAATTCATATATTTAAAGTGTGTATTCTGAACTTATGAACTATCATTGATCTATCTAAATATATATTGTATGTCTTTATCTTTTAGATAATGAAGTGTCTGTGTCATCAGTACAAATGATGTTTTGGAGCAACTTTTCGCCACCAAAATGATTGCTCCTAATGGTTATTTCTTGTACTTCGAGGCGGAAAAAATACTGCAAAATAATGTTGATCAAACGATATTTATATTTTTTCTTTTGGCAAATGTAGTGTAAAGTTGCATGAATCGACATAACATCAAGATAATAAAGACGTCACGTTGAGACCGCCGAAGTAATTAAGGTCTCATTAGCATTTAAGTTGCTTGATGAACCGAATATCTGACTAATTATATATCCAATAAAATGATTTTCTAGGTAAGCTCGTGAGTTGTTGTTTTTTTTAAATTCTTCAGCAATAGTTTGAGAAGGAACTGACAGGGTTAAAGGGCCCTGGTTCAATACCCGAACAGCGAGTGTCCTCAACGAAAGAGGGTTTTCGTTCGCCATACATAATGTACTTTCACTCAATTTATAATCATTTTATTTTGTTAAATTTCATAAATACGACCATGCACACCTGTCTCTTTTTTCTGACATGTCATCATCATCATAATAATCATCAACAACATTCCACTCATTATTGCATCCATACACAATGCGTTTATTAGTGTTCTACGTAAATGAAAAAAATGTTCGCACGTTGTGTTCCAACATGGCCAGCTACCTGACGAGTTCCTCAACGAGTTGCCTATTGGAGTATGTAAGTGTTACATGTGTTAGTTTGTGTTCTTTTTTATATCAATTTGTCATATGTTGGACGTCTGAAATATACTGGTTGCATGTTGTATTCCATGCTAATGTTCATTGCACTGAGGAGTAGCAGGAGTAGCGAGCCCCTTTGATGCATGGTCGTTTTACTGTGTTGTGTTTGCTAAAGTGTAATCGCGTTGGCAACCGTTTGTAATGTATTGGATTTATTTTTGCTGCTGCTAATCTGCATTTG